TGAATGGTGTAGAATTGTGTTGCGAACCTTGTAACACATGACCGATGCAGTTCTCTATTTTTAGTAAGCATTCGCATCATATTCAAAATCCTTCCGTGGTTATAAATATAAACCACTACCGCTCTCGCATCAGCTAACACACTTTTAATCTTCGGAATTTTCTCTCCGACATCTCCTATCATAAGATTCACGCAATGTGCTGCGCATGGTGTCCAAAACATCTGAGAATGTTGTTCTTCCAAGATTTTTCCAGCAGCTTTAAAGTTGGAGCCATTATCGGTGACAAACTAGTATAAGTAAAAAACAATTAGTCACTACTTCAATATATGTGTGTGTAGAATAATGTTAATACTTCAATAGAATATATATTTGTTACCTGCACGATGTTCTCCTCCCCGACATCCTCTATAACCTCATTGATCATCTGTACAATTAATTGAGCATCTTTCACATGCTCCGATGCATCAATTGATTTCAAAAAAATTGTCCCTTGTGGACAATTGACCAAAAAATTGATCAAGCTTCTCCCTTTCCCGTCTGTCAAAAAATCGGACATAATAGTGCATTTACTCTTCTTCCAGTGTGAACGGAAGGAATCCACAAACTTGTTGGTGTCCTCAAGTACATCTTTCAACAATGTGACCCGAATATTATGATAACTTGGAGCCGGCATGCCTAACAACGATGGGAATAAAGTTAGTACTTACTATTTAATAGTTAACCTTTGAGAAATATATTAGAAATTTGAAGTGGTAATTACCCTTTCCATACTCTCCAACCGCATTTATGAACTTTTGAAAGTTCTCATCTTTCACGGCATTGAATGGCAACCCAACCGAATATGCCCAAACCGCAAACTCTTTCCAAGCGGCCAACTTTAACTTCTCTTTGATTGGATTGTTTCTATCTAACGTGGCTTGCTTTATCTTGGCATAATCGGGCTTCAACATCGCATCAAGAGGCCCGCGAACATCACTAGCGGGCATTCTTTTTAAACCACGAGGCTGTGTTGAGGCTTGTGCTCGTGCTCTTTCTCCTTCGATAATCTCTATTCCATCTACGTCTTGCTCATCCTCATCAATATCATCAACTTCAACCGAATATTGTCGAAGGATTTCTACATTTCTATTTCGTTCTTTCTTTTTCTTATTCTTTTCACTAATGGATGCTAGAACTCTTTTTTTGATGTCGTTACTCGCATTAGGACAACCAATGACGTTACCTCCGGTGTGAGTAAGGTGTTCTTTCAACCTAGTAATCCCCCCACTCATTTTTTTATCACATAAGGTACACCATACATAATTTTTTTTGGTTGGATCTTTCCATACCCCCCATTCCCAAGCCATATCTCCATTGACGCATTTTGTACCCGCATCTGATGAAGTAGAAGTAGTAGTAGTAATCGGGGTCACAGATGCCCTTGAAGATTGACCCACTTCGCTACTTTCCATTGCTTTTTTTAGTAATTAAGATCTTAATTCTAAGTTCTAACTTCTAACCACGACAAATAAGAATAATCAAGTGAGTGGGTGGGTGATAGTAAGACTGTAAGAGCAGAGGAGATCGAGAAGAGAGACCTTGCTGTCGGCCTTGCTGGCTCTGTTGCTGTCGGCCTTGCTGGCTCTGTTGCTGTCGGCCTTGCTGGCTCTGTTGCTGTCGGCCTTGCTGGCTCTGTCGCAGTGTTGTGTCGATTACAGAGGAGATCGAGAAGAGCAGAGGAGATTGAGAAGAGAGATCGAGAAGAGAGACCGAGAGTGAAAAGAGAAGACGTTGTGAGAAGAAGAGGTCGTCGAAGACTGTTGAACTAAGTCTCAAATTCAGACCTAACTTAGTAAGCAGCCCAAAAAATAAGGCCCATGGAATAAAAAAAAGCCCAAATTTTAACCCTTATAAAATCGGAATATCGGACCGATTTTATCCTCAAAATATCACTAAAATATCGCTAAATATCGCTGATAATATCGTTCCCAATATTTTGACCGATATTTAAGGTCCGATTTTTTTTAGGAACGATATCCGATATATCGCCGATATATCGCGATTTTGACAGCATAGATGATAATTGCATTGAACTTTACAAATACTTCAGATGGGCATGGTTGTATTATATTTGGTACATGTATTATATTAACTTCAAACTTAATACCTCCTAAGATCGTCTCCGGTAAGTCTTGTGTACTTTCTTCATTTATTTATATTTTTGACAAAGTGGTTTTTATTAAAGTTCTCTTCAAAAATATCAATTTTTTCTTCAGAACATGGATCTCCCCTTGGGCTTACATAATAACAACATATACCATGAATATGATGACTGCTTATATCCTCAAGGGAGAAGCAATAGCATGCTTTTCTCCCTAGCACCAGGATTTGCTTTAGTTTGAAGTATTTATGAAATCCCAATTGCCCACATGTGGTATCAGTAGTGTGGATATGGTGAATGAATTTATAGTTGAACTTTTTGTTGAAGCACTTCACATATAGAGAAGGTTGGTTGGGGATAAGGACAAAGTGTTGCATAAGGCCTTGCATCATATTTCATATAAGGGGCCAACCCAAGTGCCCTAGGTTCTTCAACTTTATGAGGGTGAGGAGGGAATTGTTTGTACACCAATTTCTTTGCATTTTGCTAGGAGGTTGTTTTTGCAACTTGAACCACTGACTTTTTGATCTTCAGTTAGGGACCACAAAATTGATTAGTCTGTTTAGGTTTTGTTTAAATTTTAACCCAGTTTATATGGGTGTTTCTGCTGCCAACATGAGGGGTTTGGGTCTGATTGAAATTCAACCAAACACTAAACCAAAATGCGGATTGGATTTTCTAGAAAACGGACCCCAAAGACCCAAATAATAAATAGAGTGGGTTATTGATTTCACCCAAATAATGAGCACCCTATTTGCTTGCAAGTACCATGGCTGTTGATCTGTTGACCTTTGTCATATTTTTTTATCTAAATCTGATAATTTAGAGAAAAGACATGTATACAAGCAAACTCTGTTAATGGTCTAGGCCCCCTTCTGGAGAATTTTCCTTTACCAGCAGGTTCAATGATCTATAGTGATGTAAACATTTTTGTTGTTAGTATTCACACTTAGCTCTTTGAAGATGTTTTTGTTTATTGAATCATAAAGGGACCACTCAAGATGTTACCTTTCTTGTGAATTGAAATACACAATCAATAATAGTTTTGTTATGTTTCCATGACATGTCTGAATTTTGGACTTCTTTTATGTGCCATATGGTGAATGAATCTCTACGTGCTTCTGTTATCTAGTAATTGACGTAAATTGTGACCTGTACTTAGTTGTAATGCATTTGTGTGTATATGTCAACAACTTAGGATGATCATCATCAGATCTCAAAGTTGTGATAGTTCCACATGCTATACTACCAATCATATCATTCAGCTGATGCAATTCTCTGTTCTGGATCTTTGATCTGTGGCCCAAATGAACTTGCATACAAAAACAAAGTGGGAAGAATACCACCTGGTTTAGTCTTTGGCGATTGGCTTACGGTTTGGGTACACTGTACATTCTAAAGAAGAAGACATGTTTCCTATTCTTTTGTGGTAGCAACCCCCATCTGCTCATAATTTCCATGGATGATTACAAAGCATGTGATGGTCCTGTGTATGTTGTATTTCAAACATACCAAATGAAAGAATAGCATATGCATAAAGCATCGAAGCTTAAGGAAGATAATGACTCACACATTACAAATTACTTTCCACAATAAAGGGTAGTTCATCAACTGCGAGATGCTATATAAATGTGCAAGTAAATATAAATGATGGTTCATTTAACTAGGTTATAATCTTCTTCCTATAATATATTGGCAAGTATGTTTTGCGCTCAATGCTTATGCACTTCATCTTGTGTGTATTTTGAACTTCTAATACGAGCAGTAAATACTGTTAACTTTAGTGTCCTAGTTGAAGATCACAGTATAAAATAGTTAGGTGAAGCTACAAGCTAGTAACTAATTACAGCAGTTTTCTCTTGAATGGCAAAACAAAGAAAGAAGAAAAAGAAGAGACAAACATAATTGATATAATGCGGATGCATAAGCATAAAAATACTCATATTTTATACTCTAAGACTAGACGCCCATGGATTTTATCGTCAACTTGATGAATTAATTTCAAGATATAAGGCTTTCCTCATTTTGCCAGGTTCTTTGCAGAAGTTGCCTCTTAAAATACATCACTGTGTTATCTATGACCTACTGTCTGTGCCCTCTAAAATACCTAGTTAAAAGCTTTCAATATGTCATCTATTGTTTGTAAATTTTGCAGTAGCCAGTTCTGTATAGATATCAGGTCGCAGCTAGAGGATGAGTTTATGAAATCGCTTCAGGCGGAGGTACATTTCAATTTGCTAAATTCAGCGTTCATTAGTATGTATTGTCGATGTACCTTTGAGGAAGTACTTGCTTCTTGTAAGTTTGGATCACTTTTCATAATTCTGTCAGGGTACAGATGGGAATGAAGCAGAGGGCATAAAGCCATTGCCTTGGTACCCTGATAATTTTGCTTGGCAGTCAAGTTTTTCAAGGATGCAGCTGAGAAAAAACAAAAATCTTGAGAGGTGATTGAATAATTCATATACTAAATGTTCTGAACTTGGTCATCATCGTGCATTTGAGTTGAGTGATCTTTTTGAAATGATTGGAACAGGATTAACAATTTCTGCAGCCTTGTTTAAACCTAATTTGAGCCACTTATTAAAGAGATGCAAGAATCCTTAGATCTCTTCCGGCACATGCTTTAGAGAAGGATTGGGTATTTTGTGACTGTTTTCATATGATGTACAAATATCATGTCGCTGACATGTGAAGCTACCGAGGCGTCTCTCACTTTATCACTTTGTTGACTGTCTATTTTGGTCAATATTACATGTAAATCTTTGATAGATGGCCATGAGAACAGATGAATTATTGATTATTTATGTTGATATATTGGAGCGTGCATGTCCAAATTTATGGAGTCCTTAACTGAGAGTAATATGAAACTGTAGTTTAAATGTATAAGAATTAAGAAGAATATCCTGTTTTGGCATACTCGCTTGTGTATATTTTTTAGTCATTCCATGTTTTTGAACCAAATTTTCAGGTTTCACGAGTTCTTAAAGCAAGAAAATGAAATTGGAAACCTTACGAGACAGGAGGCTGTCAGCATGGTGCGCAACCTTTGATTGTATCTTTGTTATTGCATTGTGGAGTGCAATATGATGCTATTTGATGGGTTTATATATACTATCTTGCTTAAATTTTCTTTTCTAATTTATATTTGATTTGCACGCAGGTACCTCCGTTGTTCCTGGATGTGCATCAAGACCATTTTGTTCTTGACAGTAAGTTATGATCTTTGAAACTAATGCAACTGATTTACTTTCACACTAGTTCATGCCTATATGCATGTAAAGGTATATGCTTTAGAAGTAAATCATTGCTTCTTCTTAAAGAAGTCTCGGCGACCAACTAACATACACAGACACAGAATGCACTCATTGTTTAAATGACAAATCCAGGTTAAATGACTTTGATTTTCTATGTGCAGTGTGTGCAGCTCCTGGTTCAAAAACATTCCAATTACTTGAAATGATACACCGGACATCAGAAGTGGAATCATTACCTAGTGGAATGGTTATATTTCTCTCTTTTATACATAACCAGCAGAATTCTCTTTTAGCTTAGCAACTCTATTCAGCCTTCTCTTTCTGCAACTACATGAGGGGGAAATCCACTTGCATGATTTTAAAGTTCCTTTTCCTTTGTATATGTATCACATCATTCTGAGACTTCATGCTTCTGTTGGTCTAGGTTATAGCGAATGATGTGGATGTGCAACGATGTAATCTTCTTATTCACCAAACAAAGAGAATGTGCACTGCCAACTTGGTTGTCACTAATCATGAAGCCCAACATTTCCCTAGCTGTCACTTGAGAAAGAATCGTGTGAATGCTTCTGAGTTGGGTATGACTGAACTTTTATTTGATCGCGTCCTCTGTGATGTTCCATGCAGTGGAGATGGTACTCTCCGCAAGGCTCCTGATATCTGGAGAAAATGGTAATTGGCTTGTATTCATGGTCCTTGGGCAACTTAATGGATATCTGATGCTCTTCCATGTCCTCGTGAAATGCAGGAGTGTGGGGATGGCTAATGGTGTCCATTGTTTACAACTTCAGATAGCTATGCGAGGTTTGCCATAATTCAATGACCATTATATAATTAAAATGCAACCGTTCATCATTGTTGCAATTTCTCTTACTGTCTACAGCCATGCTAATCTAATGAAGTACACTAAGCTCACAGCTTTGAAAAACTACACCTCTCAAAGTATTTCTTTTTCTAGACAGTTTCTGCATTTTGCACACTAAGGAAAGGCACAACATCACATACATATTAAACCAAGTGAAAGTTACAATGATTAATTTATTAAATGTCTATCCTCTCTCATTATTTAAGCCATGTTTACTAACATTGTTGTTCTCAAACTTCTGTCATTTTAAATACTTCATCAATAAAGCCCAGTCATCAAGTCTTTGATCATATGTTCCTGTTTTACAACTTTTTCTCACATTCATTTAGCACTCAATTTAAAGACTATAGACACAATGTAGTTCAACAAGAGGTGTCATTGTAAAACATGAGGTAACAAGTAGTTTGATAAGGAAAAAAGAACAAATTATTTGTTACAGAACAAAGAAAGTGATGTTGGAAGATAATTTAGGGGTGGCACTAAAACTTCAATGCATTATACATCTGTATTAACTTTATCAGAATCCTAGAAGTATACTGATGATGAGGATTGTAAGATTATGGCAAATCCGAGTTTCTGTTTGGCTTTTTTCTAGTTATTGGAAGGAAAACTATCGTAACAATATATTTGATTATATTAAGAATGACTTGTTTTTTGACTTAATTAGTACTTTAGTTCAAATACAATTAAGAAATTAACAGAAACAATTTTGTAATTTGTCACCTTAATTCTGGGAACTCAGATGGCGCCAAGAGATTTTTAAAAATAGTGATTAGCTGAAAAAGGGACTCGATTTTTCCTGCCCAGAAGCAAGTTAGACTATCCTATTTTGTACTGTAGTAATTGGTTTGCCTTTGAATTGCATTTCAGTCGGTAGTTCTCGATGAATGCAGGTGTTTTTGGTTACATATGGCAGCCCAGCCATTGCGTAGTATAAACTTATTAGGAATCGTCGTGGTGACAAGTTTGCTTGTGAGATTAGATTTAACATTGTCTATCTACCAACTCAAATTGATAAGGTTACTTTAGTGTCTTGGAACTAAAGCTTTTCGTAATAGGGGGCTACCATATTTGGTTGATTATGTAATGACAACTCAAAAGGTGAGAAGATTTCTAATAAACATGTAAAGGGAAATAGTAACTTTATATATTCCCTTTTCATGTACTCTGTTTAGACTTTAGACCAGGTAGAGATAAATAGTTCCTTTCTTTGCTATTAAAAAAGTAAATTGTGTTTTTCTTGGTTTGAGGAGAAAACTTACTTATCAGTGCTTGCACATATTCTGGATCAATTCGTTATCTACTGGTATATCCTTCTCTCTGTTTGTGAACACCATATAATAACTGGTATGCTCAAGGACCATTAGTTTTCAAGGGTAAAAATATTAATTCGTATTTTTTTCAATCGAGAACATGTAATATCCAAAATGAAGCAGCCCATTCCATCTGGGTCAAGTGGAATTCAGGTTGAATGTTTATTTTACAAACAGCTGGTTTTTTGTTCTTATCTATTTGCTAGCTAGCAGGTCATGATGAGCAATCATTGTGTGGGCATATAATATCGTGTGATGTACTATGAAAATCCACAACTGTTCAAATTATATAATCAGGATGTAAGTGAATTAATCGCTAGACCAGTAACAAAATCCTTTCTCCTGATCTTTCAGGTCTGGCATTGCTTAAAATTGGTGGAAGAATGGTTTACTCAACTTGCTCTATGAATCCAGTGGAAAACGAGGCTGTAGTGTCTGAGGTGATGTATTCTTATTTTTGAAACTCAAGTAGCTATACAAGTTTGTAAAATTTTCAATCAGGCCATTTTACTTTTGTGATCTGTTAAGTTAGAAGTAGGAGGTCATTTAACATAGAGAGACGTGATTTCTAAACGAGCAGAAGCATAGAGTACATTCACGAGACCACCACACTAAGATGGAATTTTTTTTTTCCATTTCCTATTTCTTTTTTCATATGTGTTTAGCAACTGTTGAGACAGGAGCCTTGGAGCACCCAGTAATGTAATTGGTATGCATGGGCTTGATTCACTTGTGCTATGCTGCTTCATGTCTTCAACTCTCATTCAATCTCTTTGATGGTTTTGTTTATATGCTCGAGTGATGCTCTATCATATTTCAGTTGTTAACTGAAGATTCTTAAGTTGAATATCAACATCTGTTTATATATGTGTTATTGTTTGTTGATGCTTAAATAAATCTAATATAGTAACTACTTACTTTGCTCGACTCCTTCAGTGATTGTTTCTTTGGCTGTGTTTCTATAATACTGTGTGGGAATACACACACACACGTGTATAGAGATATTGATATTGACATATATGAACATATATAGAAAATACACTTGTATGTATATGCATACACATGTGCACATGTTTAGGACATGTCCACATTATATATATGCATGTATGTATTTATGTGTTTATACGAATTAGAACTTCAAATGATGAAACCTTCAGTGAGGTGTGTGCCTTTCATTGCATCTCATGCCTAGGCCTTGGGGAGACATTTGAGTCTATGTTGACCTCAAACAAATAACATGCAGTCTTTGTTTTTACATGTTTAGTCATTGTTCGTACTCTATATATACATTACTTCTTTGACTATCCCAAAGATTGTTCAACCCCTTCTCGACCTGGTGTCAAGGGAATGCTCTCTTTCTATCAACCTACATGGGCACTAAATTCATAATGTCTTATTTACTTCAGATATTGCGGAGATGTGGAGACTCTGTTGAGCTTGTTGACGTATCTACAGAGCTCCCTCAACTTATTTGCAGGCCGGGTCTTAAAAGTTGGAAGGTTTGTCTTCAATCCTTTCTAGTACTGCAAATTCTAGTTTATTTTATAGCTGATTTGGAGTGTCCTTTTTGTTGTGTCAACGATTCTCCAATCTTTGTCCTGTAGGATTTATGTTAATTTTTATTTGCTAAATATGTCCTTTTAGATTTGAATATGTAAATTATCAAGTTTCTAATATTCAATAACTCTGGTTAATTTGAAGTTGCTTAATCAGCCGATCCTACGGGATGCAAAAGATTCAAATGACATATAGCACTTCTAAAATGAATATGAATCAATTTATAAATGCCATTCTCGCTATGGAACTATTTCAAGATGTGTAGTTTGGTGATCATTTTACTAGCTGATGAACTCAGTGCACCAAATTTAGTTATAAAATAAGATATAACCAGTTGGTTGGAGGTTAAAGTTAATACAACTAGTTCAATGATAGTTTTTTCTCAAAGTTACGTAAATAAACAAATACATGCATGTACATCTACAATTCATGAGATCATTGTTCAAATTTTGGGTGTCAGCAAATAATACCGAGATTTATGAAAATAACAGTGAAGATGGTTCTCAATATGTGAAGATCAATGTCCGAACTTATAAAATCATAATCAGGCAGAGCAGAAAATAAATCTATCTGGGAATTGCACGGGTCTAGTGGTTTAAAGATGTAAACCTTGTGTTCTTTTCCTGGCGACACGGTGGTCTGCTTCCTGATTTGCATTACCCTTCTTGAACTTGGTTTTTTAAAATTGGAGATGCAGGTACGAGACAAGAGCATGTGGTTAGCTTCTCATAAAGATGCTTGCAAACATGGAAGAACTGGGATAGTTCCTAGCATGTTTCCTTCTGGCCAAGCCCATATAGACGCATCTGATATTGACCAGAAAATAACACCTGGAGAAATATGCGATGATGGTAATCTTGGGAATTCTAGCAATGGGGATGATGAGGGGGAACCAAATGACGTCTTGGTGACCGAAGTTTCATCTCTTCCGTTAGAGCGTTGCATGCGTATAGTGCCTCATGACCAGAACACCGGAGCCTTTTTTATTGCTGTTTTGCACAAAATATCCCCTTTGCCAGGTGATTTCTTAAAACCTTTCACTTTCTAACTTCCAACTTCAACCAATGTTATGGAGCTCACTTTATGCAGTTAGACCTCCTGACTCCTAGGTTAGACTAGGGGTGTCAGTGTGTAGTCCTTACTCCTTCCTACCTTGGTTATGTTTTCTTGTATTTGCTTCCGTTCATATGTTTTGTTTGTTTGTCTTTTTTAATGTTGTTGCTCGCTTTTAACTCTTTTTCAAATATTAGCACCATATTTCTTGTTTTCAGGTCTTCTTTTTCGAACGTTTTTAATAGAGTTGTAATTCGCTAGTTATTCTAGATGCTCGCCAAATCTGAAAACGGAAAATCCAATATTTTAAAATTGTATCTAGAATGACTGGAAAAGTGGAATAGCTTTTGCCATATTTTATCATCTCATAAATTCGCAAGTTTTTTGAGCAAATATCATTCTTTTTTCACACACTTTGCACAAGGGGGGGCCCTCACGGAAACATCTGCTCTGTTCTTTGGGTAGAGGTCAGGTCTGCCCACATCCCACTTCTGGGTGGGACAAACTGGGCTTGTTTGATTTGGTATGCAGTGTAGGTAAAGCATCTCTAAACAAGCTTGTCATATTTCTTTTCATGTGCAGTCTTCCAGACTAAGTCAAATAAGAATCCTAGGCAGCCACATTCTGATAATGATGAAAAACCCAAACAATCAGAAGATGGTGAGGAAAAAGATAATAATGGAATGGATGTAGATGTGTTGGATGTGACAAATGAAGAATCTGTAGAAGCAACAGCAGCTGATGCTTGTGTTCTTTATAATGAATCTGATGATGCTTTACTGGACAGTAATCCAAGTAAAAAACTTAAAGGAACTGAGCCCGAACAGGTCCAAACTCCAAATAAAGTAAGTACTCGTGCAGAAAAGGCCAACGACAAAAGAAAGCTGCAGATTCAAGGCAAGTGGTTTGGAGTTGACCCTGTTGTTTTCTTCAAGGATGATGCTATTCTCAATGGCATCAAAGAATTTTACGGGATTCCCGAATCATTTCCGTTCAGTAATCGTCTTATTACACGGAATAGTGATACCAACCATGTGAAGAGAATCTACTATACATCAGAATCTGTGAAGAATGTAGTTGAACTCAACTTCCTGGCTGGAGAGCAACTCAAGATAACTTCTATCGGTTTGAAGATGTTTGTAAGTTTCTCTGTGACGGTTTTTCTAACTTGATTCAATGTTTTGTCTTTCCCATTCCAGTGTACTTCCTCCGTCCCAGAATATATATATATCTACAATGAAAACGGAACACATTTTTAGAAATATGTAATTATTACACTTCTTTATTTAACTAAATGACAATTTTACTCTTGAACCCAGAGGGAGTAATAAATTTCTTCCACTCTAGAATTGGAAAGTAGGCACTTACTTTTGAAAACAGACACATGACAAACTAATGTAGAAATGTGGACACTTAGTTTGGATATACTCCCTATGTCTCAAAATAGATATCCACAATAAAAGAAGGTGCACAACTTTAGAAATGTGTGATTATTACACTTTTTAATGAACTAAATGACAATTTTACCCTTAATAATAGGAGTAATGAATTTCTGTCACATAAATTAAGGTAGAATTGGAAAGTAGACACTTATTTTGTTGCTTTCTGATTCAGGAAAGGCAAACATCCAAAGAAGGCACTTCCTCACCTTGTGTATTCAGAATATCTTCTGAAGGTTTGCCATTGCTTCTTCCACATATGACCAAACAGATAGCTTGTGCATCTCCAGTGGATTTCAAGCATTTACTGCAATACAAATCCATCAAATTCCCAGATTTTGTTGATAATGGATTTCGTGAAAAGATTGCATCGGTTTCTTTAGGCTGTTGTGTGGTGGTTCTGAACAGAGGTTTGTTTCATGAATCCATGGCCGTGTTTCATGAATTTATCTTTTTTTTCTTAAAATTTCATTTTTTTTTCTTAAAATTTCATTTTTTTTATAGGTAACGAGGGTTCATCGGATCCTCCTAAAGTAGATAAATCAACGATTGCAATTGGTTGCTGGAAAGGGCGTTCGAGTTTATCAGTGATGGTGACAGCAATAGATTGTCAGGAACTGTTGGAAAGGTTACTGGTTCGAATGGAGACCGAAAAGGGATCTTGTTTGCCTGAAAACAAACCGGTTTCTGAATCTGAAGTGAATGAAGATTCTGAAACCATAATTGGTTGAAGTATAAGGTAACAAAATTTAGGAGTGGTTATGTTGGTAATGTATTTGAAACTACAAGATTTTGTAAGCTATTCTTATTTAAGAGTGAATTACGAAAAGCATACCTAGAAATTAGAGCATGAAATCTGGATAGGGCTTCCTGATTGTTATGTGGATTAATGGAACTAAAACCTTGAGCATTTTTATTACTCATGTTTGTTGTATTTGATATATGCTCCTATTTTTCTTTGAAAACCAGATATATGCTCTTTTATTTTATATTTGCACTTGCTTATGCTATGGACTTACAATCTCTATTTGGTTTTGATGCCTCAATGTTAAGTTAGAGGTGCATTCATGGTTAAGCATCTCTTGCTTGTTATATGTCTTTACTCTTTACTGTCTGGGCATTGTTTATTACTTTTGTTATCTTGCTTGTTCCCTTCTCTCCACACTATCCTTACCTGATTTTCTTTCATTTATGTTTTATCCTTTTCCTTTGTTTCAACCTTTTGGCCAATTAACCACAAGGTGGTGCCTTATTGGTTTGAGTTTGGGCTCCAACAGTCAAAAGTGTCTGGAGGTCCCAGTTTCGAGTCCAAGGAGGAATAAAAATCCTCTTGTGGCCATGGAGGTTCAAATGCGGTGCTTTTGGGCCCGCAAAGCGGGTGGTCGCTCTGGGATTAGTCGGCTCACATAACGGGTTAGATATCCAGGTTGATAAAAAAAAGCTTTTTGGCCAATTTTAGAAGAAAAATATTTCTTGTAAATTATATATTCTTCAAAAACCGAGAAAAGGTAAATCATGTTATACAAATACAATTCTTTTTTAAAAAACAAGGATTAAATTAGTAATTGAATAAGTTCTATTTTATTTGGTAATTATTAAATTACAATGCTCCTTAAGTGATTTTATTAGAACTAGAAGCGTACTCGTGCAATGCAGCGAAATACATCGTATTTTTAATATTTCATTTTATTCTTTATTTCAGTCGATGTTATAATATGGCTTTATGTGATTTTGAGAAAGCGATGATGTTTTTATTTTTGAATAAAATATATGTTTGACGATATCAT